GCGGCTTGTTGGAGCGCGTGGTGCCCATCGTCGAAATCGACGGGGGAACTGTTTTTTTTAACAAAACAGTTAAAGTTTGAACGTGTAGAAAATCAATAACTGCCTGGCGTGGGCGTCGATTGGCCACTGCGGACTGTGTCAGTCTGCGCAAGTGGGCGAGATCAGCGTGTTGGATGGGATTATTTATAGAACAACTGTCAAGGGCCATCAGATCGTGAGGGGTAAGCAAGGGGGTGGGAGCAATTATAGCGATAAACGTTGATTAACCGTCAGTAATTTCAACGTTCATCAGGGCCCAATTAATTGTGACGGACGTGTGGCTGTGATTGTACATAATTGCGAAAGGCTCTGTACGCCGGCACCTATTCGGCACATCGGTTGACTGAATTCCAGGCTTCGATCAATTCTCTGCTCGTCTTGTTTCCCGCGTGGGCGAGTACCTTGACGGCCGCGAAGTTGAACTCATGGCCTGTTTCATAGGTGTGAGCTGCAACTTTTGATACTTCGTCGTCTCTTCCTACGGCCAAATTGTGTTCATGTATGCGCGATCCGAGCATGCACTCAGTTTGGCCCGTGTAATTGCAAGGCCAGCTAGTCATGGGATGTGATACACTACTTCAGATTGTTCATTCGGCATATGTCGGTCTTTTATTTTCATCACCCTACTGTGCATGGTAGCTTTGGGCCTGTGTGCAATTCCAACAACTAGTCCCGCTGCGATGCGCTCAATCGCTTTTGAGACGTCCTTTATGTATGACAGAGTGTGCCATATCCTCGGTGGTTCTTCCTTTTGGGCCCTCCGGGGACGAACGCGTAGGCATCGGTTCATAATTGCTTTTGGATAACCACTCCGCATAAACTGGTCGTGGAGGTATCGGGCCTCGCGTACCCTTTTCTCCGGCCTACTGCAGTGAGTCGTCTATGTCGCGTAACCGATCGGTGAGCGGCTAAGGTTAACATTCTCGAAGGTGGAATCATTATTATCGAAGGAAGTGAATACTATGAACACCTATGTGGTCGATAGAATATGCCAAGGACTGCGCTATCAACTCAAGTACCAACCATAATTGCATTGAGTTCAGGAGTGGTATAAATATTTCAGCCTGGCCTCGAAGTCTTATGTACTATTTATTCAGCATAGCCAGAAGTATATTCACTGTAAATGAACCAGCTTCAAAGCTTTGTCTAATAAGAACTTTCCTGTAGGAAAGTAGTCACAACAGATGCAAGTAGAGAAACAAAAATTCAATCTTCAAACACTTGATGTAGGAAAGAGAGGGAGGATAATCTTCCTGGATATTTTGTTTTATGGACCCTCCGTCACTCTGGGCAATTTTGTGAGAATGCGCAGTTACATTAAGGCGCTTTACGGGCTTTTTGCGAGACATTTTAGTGAAAGGGAAGACAACATTGCTTCGACGGCTACTAAAGGCGAATGACTACCCGCGCAACTTTAGCAAACAGAACCTACACAAACAAGATGAGAAACCAAATCCAGCCAGTCCTATATTTTGGCAAGCCTTTCCATACTTGAAGAACATCTCAGAAGCGGTCAACTTGAGATTGGGGTTGCACACGTCCAGAGGCAATCATTAGGCACTAGCAGGCAACATCAGGAGTCGTTTACCGGATCTGGTGCAATTATGAACTAAGTAACTAGGTAGAATAAACCGGGAGAGTACTCCGAATGCAAAGGGCCAAGCAGGCAGCAGCGGTGAGTAGGAAAGACACTAGCTCAGGTTGCAGCTCACTCGATAGTATCTGACCATGTTTTGTAAGGCAAAATTCCTTGCAAGAGGTGACAATCGCGTGAGTCGCCAGGTGCTGTAGTCATTGTTCTCAGGCCTGTGGTCCATTACAAGCGCAATAACCTACCATTCTCATATTTTGTGCCGAGATATAGCATGAGCAAGGGAATCAGTCACTCAATATGGGCGTGGGCGACCAACAGTGAACCCACTTGCCGCGTACTTATCATACTAACATCAAATGCGGTAGTGAGAA